AGATTATTCCTTAAAAATAAGGTTTTAATAATTTTAGTAGTAGCAGCCTATTACGTACAGTCTACTGAACAATAGTAATATATTTCTGCCATAATGTCTTCGAGTTAAACCAAACTTTTATTTTGATGGGTTGCCGTGAATACCTTTACATTTCTGTGTGTATATGACATGAGAATAGTTTTACTCAAATGAAACGATCAAATGCTAATAATAATGACACTAATTTTATATCATTGTAACTAGGGCTGCACGATAAATCGCATGCGATATTTAACGCGCAGATGGGTAACTTACTATTGACATGTTTGAACAGACACATACACACAGAATTATAAGGAGGAGATGCGAAAGACGAATCAACTCTGTCTGAAACACATCTCTCTGTGTGTGTGTGTGTGTGTGTGTGCGCGCGCGAGTGTGCGTGTGAGTGTGAGTGTGCGCTTTGCAGGTGTGCGCTTTGCAGGTGTGCGCTGTGCAGGTGTGTGGCAGAACTGAAGAGACGCTGCGTGAGATGCGGCTTGTGCGCGCACTTCAGGTGTGAGTCAGACAGCAAGACGAGACGGCAAAGAGTTGTTTTCTGCAACTTATTGCACTTAACTCTTTTTAACGTCAAGCAATTCTCTGCTATATGCGTTGAACTAAAACTTTGACCTTTTGCAACGTTTTGATTTAAGTAGCCTATTATTAAAATGATAATGATATCGCACACCCTTGCGATATGCATATTGCCATATTTCGATATATCGTGCAGCCCTAATTTATGTCCTCATGTAGTGAGACGGCAGATGCTAAAATCACCGCAAATAGTCGTTTTGCGGCTTAATATTTACAAACACTAGTGGGAGTGTGCTCACGTGTGTGTGTGTGCGTGCATCGGGGCGGAACGCAGATACAGAGAGCGCGACCATAATGTAGAGACCGAAATGACATGCCGTCGTATAAATAACATAAATAATAAGGCTTTTTAGTTGGTTTAAAAAAATAAAAAAGAACAAGGTATAGACCTGTTCTATCATAAAGGTAACTTTAAATGACTTCTGTTGTGATCTGGTGCTATAGAGAAAATATAATTAAATAAAATTAACTTGACCTTCAAGGGGGGCGGGGGCTGGTTTTATCACCCACTCTTGCTCCATGATCACATTATGAATAACTATGCATTTATGTAAACAGTCAATTATAGTGTAACACTTAATAAAGTTCTCAATAACATTCTAATTTCACTGGCATCATCTACTCGCACACCTGCTAGGCAGATGAAGTGTGACTATACTGCGTGTTGACGGGTCAATGCTGACCAGCAGTGTGAGGTGTAAATGTCTCTGTAGGTGGAACAGCTGGAACATCATGTTCAGCCGGAGACGGATTACAGCAGGAACAGCATCCACATCCAAACGCTCGGAGCAACAGCCGCCGCTTTCCAGCAATAAACCCGAGACCTGTCAGGACTGACATTTCAGCGAGGGGCCGCGTGCTTTCAGGGGCCTCACATCTCGAAGTAAACAAGATTGCAGCAGTTCGCCTCCGCCTTTCAGCGTCAGAGGTTTTCCCCTGAAAAGCCACCACATGGACTGCATCACGTGTGCGTCTGCCTCGCTCTCGCTCACATGGACGGCTGGATTAGTTTTCATCCGTCACAAGGGTGCAATGTGACATGTTGTTCAGAACAGCCTCCCTCCACCAGTGTGTCTCGACTATAAATACCCCGACCATCCTGACCTGCCGCCATTATATCACACACCTCTAGTAGGAGCACCCTCCTCCCTACACATGGCCTCATATTTTGATAAAGCCAAAAATGGCAAAGCTACAACAGAGCTGTCCCCCCCCCATGTGTTTCGGCTATCCGTGTCCATTTAGCCCTGTCTGGATGACAGAAAATACATGGCAGATAGTGCAAAACAAAGACTTGAGTGATAACCAAGTCAAATATTTGAACAAAAGCAAACCACAAAGCTAAAAAGACACCATAAATGGATAGACTTCAGAAAGCAGCTCATTCCTCAAAGCTCACATGCTGTCTCAATGCACCAAGCATTTAAAAGACGCATACAGCTCAGATAAAGTCTAAAAACACACTGTAGCATGTAAACATAGTATATGTGTGATATTCACACAGTGTGTGTTTTTATAGAGCTAGATCAGTGTTTGAGGCCTCATAATGAAATCCACTGAGTCATGCTAACACTAGCATCTCGGCTAACAAACAGACAGTCGTCTATAAAGCGCATAAAACTCCACACAAGCGTCGATGCTGTGAGGGTGAACGAGTGCGGATGGACGCTAATGTAGCGGGTTATCTGCTTTATATCCGAGTCAGGGTGAATGTGCCTGTGTTCTCCTTTGTTTCAGACACTTCCCGTTTGAGCCAAAGCACAACCCTTAATAACGAAGACACAATGATACACAACCAGAATGTCAATTCAGTCAAGATATTGAGGAAAATAAGACGGGGAAGCGTTTTAAAAAGACGTTTATCAGTTCACTTGGTGATAAAGATACACTAACTAGCCGGGGTTTGAGTCTCCTGTATCTTTATCTCAATCAACACACGAACTGAGACGAAATAAAACCGAAAACATCATCACAGGGAGTTAATTACTCGAGTAATGATTATATATAAACGGACTATTAACTTTATCCGAATACACACTCAAATACATGCAGCTAACTGCAACAAACGGACTTGTTTTTCATCTCAGCCATCCTGAAAGACAAAATCGATTTAAATGCGAAACAAACAACGCGTTAATAATAAAACATGCGTGTTTAAACCTAAATCTGAAGTTTTCGTGTCACATTTCAGCTTTTAGTTTGAAAGGAACAGGCTAATTTTACTAGCTAACATGCTAGCATCAGCTAACAACCATATTCGGTTAAACTCCGCAAGTTCACCATTTTAGACTAAGTTAACACATTAAAGGACATTATATCAACGAATAACTTTAATAAAACGTATATTAGGCTTACTACGGAGTCATTTTACCGAAACGAGTCATATTTTCCTATAACCTTAGCATGAGGTTTAAAGCGAAATGTAATGCGAAAAAAAGTGTCTTAAGTTACTTGCCGTATCCGAGTAAAAAGAGAAGCTCCCACAATATAGAGACTTTGTATTACACCCTTGGCGACGGTCCGTGCTGTTAGTCCGCTGGTGTGTGTGTGTTTTTCTGGCTGTTGGTTGTTGGTTTTCTTTAATAGTGGTCGTGACGTCACGGTGATTGACACGTCCGCGGGGCGGGGCTTACTGCGCCAGTCATAACGAGCTTACTGTACAAAACAACCTTCTGCTCTGAAGCATAGTTCTAGAGCTGCGTTTCTTTGTCTTGTTTGTCAGATGCTAGATTTGATTGTTCTCTGCAGTTGTAAATGCGAGTTTGACCTAAATGTGAAGATGTTTTGTGATAAATGGAGGCAGAAAGGTCTAGTCACTACTTGCGTCAAGCCAAATTGCACAATGTTCTAGTGATTTCCAAATCATTTCTGAGAATGGTAATAGTACTGATAAGACAGATCTCCACACCCATACATATTCATCCTGTACACCAGTTACTACAGCCTCCACGGTTATCATAGGCTATTACTGGGGTTTTTCAGTATGGCACTGGTTGCAAAATAAGGTGTTTTAGTAGAATCAGCCGCAAAATGTGTTCAGAAGTTAAGGCTGCATCAAAAGGTCCAGTCTTGTTGAGATCCAAAACGCAAGAAAACAACTTTTAAGTGGACACATTGGTCTGCTGAAGGTTATTTTTACATCAGCAGTGTTTGTATCAGATGTCACCACACAGTGATCTGCTGCTGACCCGGAGAACAGCCCTCTTTGAAGGACATGTTGATTCAATCACAACACATCTTGATCGAGACCATGCAGATGAGAGAGGATAACACTGGCACATTTTGAATACTTGCTGCCTCAAACTGCAGAGTTGCCCAGCTAGATAGCATTTTTGGGCTTTATAGACACATTGAAATGGCAAAGCAATCATGACTGGGGAAGCCTTTGTACTTGGTCTTAAAAAACAAAACAAAAAAACAAGTCGTTATTATGTCACTCCTTCCCTATTAAAGAATTAACATGAAAGTAGATGGGAATAAATTAACATAAAACACAAATTAATGTATAGATTATATAAGTATACATTCATGATTAAGCGGAGAACCCGTTTGATTTGAAATCACTCATATGTTGTCCACAGGAAAACAATGAAATGAGTCTGTTGTTGGATGTCTTTTCATTTCACAACACCCCTGCATCTGTTTTGAAAGCACTCTTGTATTTTGCCCTCTGGTTATATATAGAGCAGGAACCTGATACGAGACAGTCCTCCATGTGAAAGCACAGCGCCACTGCTTTCTGGTCTGGAAGTGATTTCAGTGAAGAAATGAAGCAAATGAAGGTGTCGAAGGCTTGGTTGTATTCTTACCTGTGTGAACACTGAAGGCATTTCCTCTAACTTCAGCAGTGTAGTTGCATTATCAGTAAACCGAGTACTGAGCTACACCTGATAAATGCAACGATTACATTTCTTTACTCATCTAATTTTACTTTGCAGACCCATCTAATGGCACGTCTTTGTTAACACCTATCAGTCTTGATTAATGACTGTGAAATATTGTATGGGTTAGTAACAAAAATCTGCCAAATATAGTGGTGTGAGGAAAACACCCATCTCAAACCTAATAATGCACTCGTATCTGCCAAAAAAATAAGACCAGGTTTATAACTGCAGAACTGAGAGGGGAAAAAATTAGATGGTTTAACCAAATATGATCTTATTTTGTTGTTTATCCAGCATCATTTCAAACCTTTATGACTTTCTTTATTCTGTAGAACACACAAAATATATATTTTAAAGAATTGTTTACTATTTTTGTCTGTTCAATGAATGCCAGTGGGGTCCAATACATCACTGAACCCCACTGACTTTCACTTTATGGACCAAAAAAAAAAAAAACCTATCGACAAAGAACAAACATACACATTGAAAGAGCATTAGTTGATTTATTCTTTCCACAGGACACCATGGAAAGTAAATTTATTTACAAAATCTGGAATGTTGAATAAATGCATACCAATCATCTTAATAGTAGCTGCTTGCGGAGAAACCTTTGACATAGCTATACATTAAAAGGGCTGCTTCTGTGATGCAAATTATTGCTGGTTTTAAAAACGTAATCACTAATGCCATGAACAAATCATAAACCTTTTAAAAAAGTATTTACATTTTGATTAGTAATCTCTAAAGAAAAGGGTACTAAATAAATAAAAGGTGGGACAATTAAAAAAAAAAAAACACCAGTTGTTTTTAGTCACTGTTCGTTATTACATTTTTACAATGTCTTTGCAGACAAAATAAAAAAGTGACAGTCAAGGATTCTACGCTAGACTGATTGGTGACAAAATGGAAGTAACAGTGTCCACAAAAACATCGTGTTGAATGAATCATTCCCAGCTAAATTGGAGGCCGTTGTTTTATCCATTAAATTTGTACTTTAAATAAAAAACTGTGCGATTAATCTCTTTTTTTTTTTAAATAATCAAATGTAGTAAATTAATTTCCAATTCATAAACAATGGTGACTCATTACTTATTTTAACACACTCTGAGGGCAGCGCGTCAATGGTAATTAAAATAGTGCGAAAATTGGTCTGAATTCAACTGCGAATCAATTTAGAATTGAACTCTTTTGAGCTCTCGTAAAAATGCTGACAGTGCTCTTTCACATCAAATTGTGGATGTTACATTATCAGTATGTTAATTCGATTACTTCAATTCATTTAGCGCTCCAGTCTACCGAAGAATACAGCGAAGAACGATCAAAAGGAGGAATTTCATGCAAATAATACAAACAGTACTACAATCGACAGTAGGTCGTTCTCCTCATATGCAGACATGGCAAAAGTCTTTCATGGCCTTTCGACGCGACTACTTCATCAAATACAAACATTACTCTTAACGTTTTACAAAGCCTTTCGAATCTCTTTGCTATTGAAGTCGATGTATCCTCATACAATGGTACGATAATCTTCGTAGGGGTGTTTGGAAACAGCAGTGCAATCGCTAACGTGACGAGACATTCATTCGCACACTGATTTTTCACTTTACGAACTTTTTCTTTTTTTTTTTACAAATAATCTGAAATGCCATTTCCTACGTTTTTGTCTTTAAAAAAATTTAATATAAAATGCTTTTTCAATCAAGAAATACTAAATGGGTTTCGTTATTTATAAAAAGAAAAAAACACAACGGACTGCATCCTGCGAATGGAATAAAGGACTTTCTATTGCTCTTTCGCCCACTGTGTCATATGTCAGCCCAATAAGGCCACTGAATATGCGGCGTGGATCTAAATGAGTATTGCTCGGGGTCGAACCCATGTGTGACAGTTCAGGGTCTATAGCACGTTTCTCAGCCCTGCATCCAAGCCAACGAACAGCAAACGAACGTCCATGACTGCACCACTAGTCAAATGTTAGAATGTTTTCGTAAGAGAATAAAATATTATGCCTACAATCTTCCTCACAGAATAGAAAACCGTTTCCAAAATGAAATAAGAAATAAAAACTCGGATTAGTTGCGTAGGAATCAGTGGCTCTGTTGTAGAAGAAGGAAAGAAGTTGACATGCCAGCAGTTTCATGCCGCCAGTATCCCAATATGCTTTGGTTAAAAACCACTTTCTGTTTCCATGTATGTCTTTTTCTCTTTCGAAATCCTCATGGAAATTCTTCATCGTGTTCCTGTCCAAGTTTCACGTACAGGGAGCATTTCGGCGCATCCTTACTGGTGGCTGAAGTTTGTCTCGCTCCATTAAAGTAGGAAGAGACTCTTATTTCACTGGAGGAACGTTGCAGAAAGTAGATAAAGGCAATTCAAGTTACGAAGACTAGAAGAGTTTATAGCATCGAGCAGAGTTTTTCATCAAAATTTGAGGGATTTGTTCTTCACAATTAGGTGAGAACGGTGACCACCAGGCCTATAGAGTTCACATCCAGTTCGGTTTAGCTCAGCCCAGTTCTACATTCATTACCACAGTTAGCACGTAGCATTGTCTTCTAGCTCTGAATCTCACACAGGTCATAAAAGTGGTTTTAAAAAATCTCTTTAAAATAATAAAAATGAAAAAAAATGAGTGAGTTGTGACAGAGAGCCCTGCCCTCAAACGGTCAGCTACAGCTAATGTCCCACAAGAGCTCTACACCCAGGTGACGACTTAAAAAAAAAAGGAAAACAAAAACTATCTTTACAAAAGCACAGGTATTCGTATGGACTGCACCAACAGACTATCCCACAGTGAAGGCGCATGCTTCTGTCTTCCACTTGATTCAGTGGTTTCACTGACGGTCAACCATCGTCCCGTTAACATCAGTTCAGATTAGCTATATATAGCACTGGCTCCTCTCGGTACAAAAATAAGACGGTGCTCTGTTACGCGGCCATCTCTCGAATGATGATCAGGTCGACAGTGTTGGGGAACGTCTTCAGGAGGGATACTGCATATCCGTGATCGATGTTAACGAAGCTGTATCCGTTTGCCTGGAAGAGGATGTTGATTGAGGTTAGTGAATTACTAAGGTATGGAAAAGACAAAAACGTGAATAGTAAGAGAGGAGTGGAAGAGATGGATGTGTAGAAATTACCTGGATGATCTTGTCCCCAGGCTGAAGGAGTTTTGAAGCAGGTCCCTCTGACTGAACCCTCGTCACAAAGATGCCCTGTTGATCATTAACGATTTAAGAACTGATTATTCATTAGACTAGTTAGACTGCAGTTGAATAAAGGTCTAGTATATACAAGTGTTAGTAGCAGTTTTGGCGTAAACTACAAAAAAAACAACAACAACACTATTGTTAAAAATGTTAAAGGGGTCATATGATGCGATTTCAAGTTTTCCTTTCTCTTTGGAGTGTTACAAGGTAAAATTGGAATGTTTTTGGGAAAAAACTCACATGTTCATCAAGGCTGCATTTACTTGATCAAAAATACCATAAAAACAGTAATACTGTGAAATATTATAACAATTTAAAAACTTCTCTACTTGAATATGTTATAATGTAATTTATTCCTGTGATGTAAAGCTGAATTTTCTGCATTATTACTCCAGTCGTTAGTGTCACGTGATCCTTCAGAAATCATTCTGCTCAAAAAGCATGTCTGATTATTATCAATGTTGAAAACAGTTGTGCTGCCAAATATTTTTGTGGAAACCATGAATTTTTAGGATTCTTTGAGGAGTGAAAAGAACAGTATTTATTTGAAACAAATCCTTTGTAACACTATAAATTTACTGTCATCATAAATCAATTTAATGCATCCTTACTGAATAAAAGTATTAATTTCTCACAAACAAAACAAAAGACAAAAATCTTACAGCACAAACATTTGAATAGCAATATAATAAATATAATTTATTAATTTGGCATAAGCATTTCCTAGGTTGTTGCACACCTAAACGGTTGCTCTTTTGGCCAAGTCAAAATTATATTAGCATTAATTTATATTCATGTCTTTTTAATATTCTGGTCTCCAGACCCTACCAAGGTCTGTTGTTCAGTTTAAGTTCATGGTGTTTTTTTATGGTAGAAAAAGTAGATCAACCAAATGATCCAGACAGACTGAAATTAAAGCTCCAGAAATACCAATTTAACACACAAAAAATAAATAAAATAACTTACGTTGTCATCTGGACGGAAGGGATTCCCATGTCCACCCACTCCTCCTGAAATACTGAAACCCAGCTCAGGATTCTTCTCAATCTTCACATGGAGCTGAAGACAGACACACGTGTCACACTACCCACAATGCTTCAGTTACACATCAGTCAACATGAAGTGGCTACAGGGGTGCCAAAATATATATCTACCTTAGTTAACATTATCCAAATCTAGGTGATGTCAAAGAAATAATGTAATTTCAGAGGCTTTTTAATGACAGATCTCTAAAACAATTTATATTAAATGAAACCAGGAACGAGTATTAAAGCAAACAGGGTTCGTTTAGATTTCATGTTAACATGATGGTCCAGAAATGTATCTGCATGCTGAGATTTCTGTCAGAAATGTGTGCACCTCCTGCTGCAGTGTCTCGTGTGGGACCCGTGGAGGGCCCGGGGGCTGCTGGGACACTTTGAGCATCAGATAGTCGATGAGCTGCTCTCGTGAGGGGTGGCGTGCCATCGGTGGCTGACCACAGCTCATGGGAGATCTCACAGGAGGACACATCTGGCCGTTCATCAAAGGCACCTGACGGGTAAATGCACACCAACACCATCAAGACATGCACTTAGTATTTCTGCTCATTAAATCACCACACATCTGATGATGTTTCATAACTCCAGTGTCAACCAAGGACTATCTGTCTCCTCAAAGACAAAACAACTCACAGGTTTTGGCACAGGCCTGTGGACTAAACAGAGGCTACTTTGAGAGAAACAGCAGGTGTAGATTTATGAGATTTCAGTGATGTGGGACTGTCCTCTTTAACAGAAGAGTCATGAATTTCACTGACAGCAAATAGAAATCAGTAAAAATGCACAAAAAGCTTTATTCAGATTTAACTTTTGTGACATTTTTTTTTTTTATCGCTGAAATTAAATTTAAAGAGACATTAGTAGGCTTTTTCAATAAAAACCAAAGGATGGTCCTTTGTGCTTTGTAAGCATTTCACTACATGTGTCCTGCTACAACGTGACGCATTTTCCAGACACCAGGGGGCAGAAAGTTCCCAGTAAACAATTGACCATGAATCTGATCAGAAGAACAAGAAATCCTTGTTGACAGATGAAGCCTTTAATTCTAATTGGAGCTTTATTTCTAATTGATCCACCTCACTAAAATGTTTGTTTTTTTCCAGAGAGACTAAGAGAGCATTTTTACAAGTTCTGAAAGTCATACACCAAGTACAAACAGCACACAACAAAACTAAATAGCACAAAACTGCACAAATAAAATTTGACCAAGGTCAGTAAATTTATAACATGAACAAAATCAAGATGATCAAGATTTTTTTTCTTATTAAGGTGCAGAGAGACAAAGACAGATAATATGCAAGAAAATATAAATACAAAAATACAAAGTTATTTAAAAAGAAAGTATAAAGCTTGTAAGAAATATTTATATCCAGTTAAATTATAATTGCAATGACAAGATTCATAAATTGTAATTTTGGCCCCCTTTCATGTGTTTATTGCAGTCAGTGGTGAGCACATTTTTAATGTGCTAGAAAGCTCAGCTTTCATTAGAACACGTCTGAGAATTCTTTAAAGCAGTGCTTATTAATTAGAGCTAATTAATCAATGCTAGAGTCAGGCTTCCCCACTGGGTCAGTATCTCATAATTGTGCATTCATAGTGTGTACATGTAGCAACACGTTTAAAAACATCTGAATGTCGTCGCATTCGATAAACCAAGTAACACAGATACAATTCTACGTTTTCAAATACAAAAAGCACTTACTTTTCTCAGAGTGTCGATATGGTAGCCCTGTTGTCCTTGAGGACTGAAGACATCGTCCTGCAGGGAAACAGCACAAAATGTCTCAACAAGCTAAGGAAAAAGGTGTACCGTATTTGATGACGCTTATTTAGCCATTATGGGTTGTATTTTGAGTACTTCTAGCTACAGTGGACGACTACAGCATTAAAACATACAGCTACATAAGAATTAGATTAGATTAAAAACATTCCGGAGTGAAACCGAAGGTGAAACAATGAGCACATGCATTTTCTAATAAAGAATCTGTCTGGAAACAGGCTGGACGTCACTTGTGATTGGGCCCGGGAACTGCAGCCATTTCCCATAAATGCGGAATTCCCAATATATTTCATAAGCTTGAGAAGATTAATGTTCCAGTTCTTTGTCATTTCAACCAACAGGAAGGTTTACTTTTAGTTCTCTAATCAGCTAGGTGAATCAGCTATCAGAGTCAATATTACAAAAATTTAGTCATATTTCATAAAATATTTGCATACAATTTTCCATAACAGATTTCATGAGCCTTTCAGCTAAAAGTGCAGATTGTGCTTTCAAGCACACAAACAGAATGAAAGAGTGTTTGTTTCCAGGACTTTAGTGTATATGGTTTAGTGGCTAGGAATGTTCTTAATCTCCTATTACTTAGACAACCCAAAGAAACAGAGCAATTGTGCAAACCAGCCGACACTGGATATAAGCTGAGAAGGGTGCATTTGGGGTGGGGGTCTTGAGCTCCACAAGGGCCATTCTGTTCAATGCTTGCTGCTTAGAGACCATTTGTTGACTATTCAAGAGCCAGTTTTTGCAGAACTGTATGGAAAAGAGCAGCTTGGACATTCTGCTGAACATCTTATTTTGTATATCATGACAGAAAGTTAGTTGTACGGGTTTGGAACAACATAAGAATTACAAATCAGATGTCTCCCTTATCTGACCCATTTGTTTTCAGGTCAAGGTTTGTTTGTTTGAGTAACATGTACTGTTTGTGTGCCTCCAAGAACAGGGTTGGGAAACACCCAACATATTCAGCTTGTACAGATAATGTTAAGTAACAAATGCATCTCAGTTTGCTGGGAATACACAGATTAAACAGCAAGCAGAGAGGATGACCCTTTGGGAACTGAGAGAGACTCCACTGTGCCTCTGGAAGTTTGGGGAGGTGAGGTCTCAGTGGGGCGATACTCACGCTGGGCCCATGAGCTCCAATCTGCCATCCGTCTAGAGCGCTAAAGGCCAGAGAGCTCTGACTGCCAATGAGAGTGGCCAAAGACCGAGAGAGAGCGCTCTGAACACATGACGACATGCACACAAACACACATGCATTTAATGATGACATATGTGAGCATGCAGTAACCATGAGTACACTTTGAGACATGCAAGGGTTAGAGGAGGTTAATGTGTTAATGTCCACATAAAAACGTGCAGAAAAATACTGTGTAAAGAGCATTTTTATGAGGAGAGAAAATAAATGATACCATATACATGCAGTTAATGCTGGAGCGTGTTATTTCAGAGGTGAGGTCCAGAAACTAGATTGTGAGTGCCCATGCAAAACTTGCCACTATGATGCCAAGAGGTTGTGAGTGGTTGCCAGGTTGTTGCTCTGTGTTTGCTAAGGTGGTCTAACCCTGTGTCCGAATATGCCTACTTTTCTACTATATATTAGGCGAAAACAGTTAGTCAAAAGAGCAATATGTTCCAAATTCACAGTATTTATAAAACAGTAGGCAAAAAGTACCAAGATGACCTATTACGTACAGAAAATCTTTTTTTTAGTCATGAAGTTAATTCCTTATCAACTATAGTACCTACTCTGACAGTATGTGATTTTGGCCACACCTTGAGTGCTTTTTATCACCCTACTATGTTGCTGCTTGCTAGCCCAAATTAAAAAAGCCCATCCTCAAATCATAATGGGGTAGCCAAAGACCCTGCTCCAACACACCTGCCTGTTTCTTAAGTAATCCTGAACACCTTGATTAGTTGGTTCAGATGTGTTTGATTAAGGCTGAAGCTAAACTCTACTGCTGCACTATGACATTCTGAACCCTAGATTTGGTTTGGGTGTCTTCGTCAGTGTAAATCTAATCCAGGGGAGTCCAATCCTGCTCCTGGAGGGCCACTGTCCTGCAGAGTTTAGCTCCAACACCTGTTTTTAGCACTTCAAAGGACCTTGATTAGCTGGATCAGGTGCGTTTAATTAAGGCTGGAGCTAAACTCTGCAGGACAGTGGCCTCCAGGAACAGGTTTGGACACCCCAGGTCTAAGTTATATAATCCCACTAGACCACGGGTCTCCAAACTCAGTCCTGGAGGGCCGGTGTCCTGCAGAGTTTAGCTCCAACCCTAATTAAACACACCTGAAACAGCTAATCAAGGTCTTACTAGGCATGCTAGAAACGTCCAGGCAGGTGTGTTGAGGAAAGTTGGAGCTAAACTCTGCAGGACACCAGCCCTCCAGGACCAAGTTTGGAGACCCCTGCACTAAACCAGTAATGGGCAACTTTGGTCTGGCACAGTTTAGCTCTATCCCAAATAAAACATACCTGGCCTGTACATTTTCAAGCAATCCTGAAGACATGGGATGGATTTTTTCAGGTGTATATGATTAGGGATGAAGCTAAACTCTACAGCAGGGGTGCCCAACCCTGCTCCTGGCGATCGACTGTCCTGCAAAGTTTAGCTCCAACTCTAATCAAAGACACCTGCCTTTAATTTTTAAGTGATCCTGAAGACCCTAATTAGTTGCTTCAGGTGTGTTTGATTAGGGTTGGAGCTGAACTTTGCAGGACAGTCGATCGCCAGGAGCAGGGTTGGGCACCCCTGCTCTACAGGATAGTGGCCCTCCAGGACCGGAGTTGAGTTCAATCGATTTCAAAAGTAGTAGCACACCTTTCCTCAACAAGCTGCATACTTGGAAGTATCATTCATGTCTAGTGCAGATAGTACAGGACGAAGTTTAATACTCAAAGTTATGGATTTGAACAAACCCCTAACTCCAGGGGCCAGTTGTTTAAAAGTAATCTGATCGGATTTTGGCCATCAGATTGGATCAAATCTTGAAAATGGGTTGTTCAAAAGAAAAAGAAAAAAAAGGATTCTGAATTTGGATTAGATCACAAACTCCAATCTTGGTTTTGATCTAGATTAAATTCTCAGTTTGTGTTGTTCAAAACGTTTTAGTAAGATTGGGATACTTCTGATCCAAAAAACTGGATTAATCTGACCCCAGCAGAAGGGTGTATGTAATAAAAGTTTAAAACTGGTCCAAAAAATACAACATTTGTAAGATGTATTATATTCCCAAACAGCTGTCAATATCAAACAAAAATATTATATTTAATTTAAAGTTTTTTTTTTAAATCACTGATTGTTAACTACATTGGCACAAACCTCAGAGATGGACCAGCAAGAAGTAGTTATTTGTGTAAACGCAATGCAACCATTTTCCATCACCATGTCCCTTTAGGGGCTCCATAGAGCACTAGTAATCCAGATTTGGAAATCTGAAAAAAGTGTGTATCTGGATCAGGGTGATTCAATCCAATTTTGCTTTGAAAAACCGGCACAAAAGTAACATGGGTTACCTGATCCTGGATAGCAAAACATGGGATTTCAAATTCAAATAATTCTGATCCAGATTAAACTTTTTGAACAACTGGCCCCAGCTATGCTTGTCTTCGCATACACTATTTGTAAGAACGACCATACCTTCTCCATCTTCTTGGCTTCGATGTGTCTCATGACCTGGTCCCTCCAGTCTGCTGGAACCCTGCCGCCTCCGCTGACTGGCCCATCCAGCAACGAGTGCTCTGACTTCACCCTCATGCTGGGTCTCTTGCTGGGGCTGGCGTGCTGGTAGTTGAAGTCGCTGACGGACATGGTCCTCTCTGGAAGCTCGTGAGGTGGGGGCCGGGCACTCTGCGGCTGGGGAGCGTTGGGTCCGTCCATGCTGTACGTGCGGGCAGACAAGGGTCTGTGGAGCGCCTGGCTCATCTGCAGAGGCCCACGGCCTGCTGCATGAATGTCCCGGTAGGTCATGTACTCTCCTTCCATTCCTGGCATGCGACGTGGGTCCGGCATGCACATGGGACTGCCAGAGGACCCGCTACCTTGTCTCTGCAAGGCGCCACGCTGGCCAACAGATGGCAGCATCCTTTCCTTGGCCCACATGTCCGGGGTCTTGGGCGGGCCACGTTGTTGGGGCTGGGGATATGGGGGGGCGTTGTTGCGGTTGGAGTAGTTGGTGTTGGCGAGGGAGTGCTGCGGTGGGAGGTAGGGCTGCTCAGGAGGTACGGGGGTACGTTGGCTCCACAAGCTGTCTTTGGGCACAGTGCTACTGGCGTACTGGATGTTGTACTGCGGAGGGGGGCCAGTGGGGTAGCGGGCACTGCTAATCGGAGGTTTGGAGCTGGACAAGAGGTCAGAGGATGACGCAGAGGAACCAGGGTAGATCTGCAATGGCTGGTCGTTTAGCAAAGAGGCGGATTTGGAGCGGACGATGCTCTGGCCTTGAGCGCCGCTTATAGACGTTCTGGCTGCACATGCCACTTCATACGGGGGGCTTTCTCCCTCGATGGAGTATAGCTTCATTCCTTCAGCGTCCATGTTGGCAATGCTCTGAGATTTCACTACTGGGGCCGGTGGACATTTCTTCTCTGGCGAGAGTTCCTCTGTGCTACGAGAAAGACTCATGTCACTTAAAGCCGTTACACCTGTGGAGACGGTCCTCGTCGACTCATACCGCAAGGGAACTTGATCCGTTCGTCCATTAAAATTCTCCCCAGACTGGGTTTTCTGAATCCGATTGCCATTCTCAAGACTCTCGAGTGACACCATGGCATTGTTGTTGATTGACACGGACTCCTTGGCTGAGGGACTTTTGATCCTTTCCAGGTCCTCATACAACACCATGTTGTCAGGTGGGAATTTGGCCACGTTCATGTTGATTTGATCCCACTTGCTGTACTGTTCTGCCACGCCGTTGTTTATGCCCTTTTCAATGAGGGCAAGCCTCTCCTCCATAGAGAGACTGTAGTCGGCCATCTGGTCTGACTTGCTTTCATAGCTCTGCTGGTTCTTCAGGATGGTCTGTAGGGACGTCTCAGAGCCATTACAGTTTTGGAGTAGAGGGGTCATCTGCTTCAGCTGGTTGAGGTTTTCATCCTCTTGTCTGAGTTTGAGGGAATCAAATCAAGTTAGAGAAAGACTCCAGCAAAATCTGTCAGACATTAATTTTGTCAGCCATGTTTAATTTAGTCTTTTAAATTATTTTTAGTCCTGTGTCAAATATACATTTTAGTTATCATCATATTTAGTCAACCTTGTCCTGTTTTTTGTTTAGTCAAGTTTTAGTTGACTAGGGCCTGGTTTCACAGACAGGGCTTAGACTAAGCCAGGACTAGGCAATAGTTCATAGAAAAAACTGATGTGCATTTTAAGACAAAACAGAGGCACTGATATATTTTAAGATCAGTCAGTGCAAGTTTCTTTCAGTTAAAACAGCTCAAACGTCCACTTTAGTCTGGGACTAGGCTTACAGTGGGTACGGAAAGTATTCAGACCCCCTTCAATTTTTCACTCTTTGTTATATTGCAGCCATTTGCTAAAATCATTTAAGTAATTTTTTTTTCCTCATTAATGTACACACAGCACCCCATATTGACAGAAAAACACAGAATCGTTGACATTTTTGCAGATTTATTAAAAAAGAAAAACTGAAATATCACATGGTCCTAAGTATTCAGACCCTTTGCTGTGACACTCATATATTTAACTCAGGTGCTGTCAAAGGAACTGCCTGAAGAGCTCAGAGACAGAATTGTGGCAAGGCACAGATCTGTCCAAGGTTAGAAAAAAATTTCTGCTGCACTTAAGGTTCCTAAGAGCACAGTGGCCTCCATAATCCTTAAATGGAAGACGTTTGGGACGACCAGAACCCTTCCTAGAGCTGGCCGTCCGGCCAAACTGAGCTATCGGGGGAGAAGAGCCTTGGTGAGAGAGGTAAAGAAGAACCCAAAGATCACTGTGGCTGAGCTCCAGAGATGCAGTCGGGAGATGGGAGAAAGTCGTAGAAAGTCAACCATCACTGCAGCCCTCCACCAGTCGGGGCTTTATGGCAGAGTGGCCCGACGGAAGCCTCTCCTCAGTGCAAGACACATGAAAGACGGCATGGAGTTTGCTAAAAAACACCAGAAGGACTCCAAGATGGTGAGAAATAAAATTCTCTGGTCTGATGAGACCAAGACAGAACTTTTTGGCCTTAATTCTAAGCGATATGTGTGGAGAAAACCAGGCACTGCGCATCACCTGTCCAATACAGTCCCAACAGAGAAGCATGGTGGTGGCAGCATCATGCTGTAGGGGTGTTTTTCAGCTGCAGGGACAGGACGACTGGTTGCA